GAAGCTCCTTGCGCATGCGCTCGATGGTCCCGTCGACGCGAGCGGTGCCGAAGCGCAGACCGCGGTCGGCAAGGCGGATCTCCGCCTGAATGGCCCGCCACGATCCCTCCAGGCCCGAGCCCTTGTGCTTGGCGTGGATGCGCTGCAAGGAGAGCTGGTCGTGGAGAGCTTCGGTGACCTCCACGTACAAGTAAAGGTAGGGGAGGAGGAATTCCCGTACGGACGCCGGGAGATCGGGATGGGCGGCCACCTCCACAAAGGCCGCGGTCGTGTCGAACAGCCAGGAGACCGGAGGAGCCCAGCCCGCGTACTCCTGGAAGTACCCGGAGTTGGCGCCCAAAGAGGCGGCGACCGCACTCCCCTCGGCGGTGTCGCGGATGTCGAACCAGTACGGCGAACGGGCGCCCACCGGTCGGGCGACCGGGTTGTTGACGGACTGGGGGAGTAGCGCCGGGTCGGGCAACCAGCAGGCTTCGATAGCGGAGCTCGGAATACGGTTGTTGAACCGGCGAGCTTGTTCCCGGCACCACTGCTCCGCAGGGGACGGGTTCATAGGCAAGAACTCGGCAAAGAGCCGAGAGGTGCCGAGAGCCTAAGTCGCCTCCCCGCTCGCGCCCGCCAAAGCCCGCCGCTCCCAAGGGCGCCAAAAACCACTGGCCCTCCTTGAACGCGACGGACCAGCCACTGACCCAAGGTACAGGGGGACAGAAACCCCAAGGGGCCGCCAAAACCATTGTACTTTAAGCAGCGCTGACCCAAGTGGGCCAGCGCGCCCGCCCCTCGTCGCCCTGGGCGGAAACCACTTAACAAGATAGTTAATCCCATTTATCTTGGTGTAATGCGGTTGGTGGCAATTTGCCGTGGGCCAGTTTCAGGCATATTTATACTCGCATCAGATGAAGTGACACATACGTCTATTTCTCCTTTGGAGTCACGGAACTAATTCTCGTCTGAAAATTCATGTGGGTCGATGCCTTCCAATGTTTTCAAGTCCTCTTTGTGTGAGCCCCTGCATCTAGCAGGCCATGACGAAATCGCAACCTCCAGCCAGTGCATTTCCTTTCTGCCCATTGAACACACAACGACTTTACGAAGCACTAGTCAGTTCAGTCAGCGAAATTCATTGAGAAAAGCATGTTGCAATGCCGTCCTGGCGAGCTGCCAAGCAACGTAGACGGGCCTAAAAAATTCTTCGAAAATGATGCAATTTGCCAATGCTTATACGAAACGCGTTTCGAGTAGAGTACGGTATACTCTGCCGTACTCTCTACCGTACTGTACGTCACCCTGTACCGTACAGTATCCTCTACAGCTGGGTTTCCCGCTGGATTTCAGTAACTTACGAAGTTGGACGGCACGCTCTGATTCCGTGTATTATCCCTTTGAGAAGTGGAGTGTAGAGCGGCTGGACGAAGCATGCTGGTCTTCACGATGTCCGCGGCGGTCCTGTGCAGGAAGAACTGTGTGCAGCATTGGCGACTACTCGCTGCTAGGCAATCTTGCAATGCATCCAGGAATGACGTGTTTGGGACGGCGATGCCTGTCAACATGTTTTTTTGTTTATGTAAACAAGTGCGTCTATGTAAACACGTTTATTTCTTTTGGTGGTTGGTGGTTGGGGGGTGGGGTGGGGGTATTTCTGTATTTCTGTTGAATGGGTATATGGGGACGCTGTTTGGGTGTGACCCATCACTGCATGCTGCAATCGTCGCTTGTTGTTGCAGTTCACTTCCCATTGTCTCTTGAAAAGCGCAAACAAAGCTCAATCCATTCTTATACAAGAATATATTCGCCCTAGGGTGACAGCGACCTCCCCATGATATGTCATTGCCAATTCTGAGCGGTGCACGGGGGCCCATTTGTTTGCGCATTTGGGGCTGCAGGTTTACCAGGCACGCCCTGCAACAACCAACGAGCCGGACACCGTTGTGCAAAATTGCTCCTGACCTGGCCCAATTTGAATGCTTTGGAGAATGGTTATATGAACGAAAGCGAACAGGCATCCCACGCCTCCTTAGCAGAAACCTTCTTGTGAGCACTCAGGCAGTGGCTCATTTGGGCAGCAAATTTAAGAGGCTGGCAAAAGACTATGCTCACTCTCAGGACATATCTCTGCGCAGGCTGTAGCCAGCCGCTATACAAGAACAGAAAATCTGCAGTTGCATGCAGCACCAGTGATGACAAAAATTCACAAGGGCTGCATCTTGGCAATCGTAAAAAGTGTTTTCACAGCCAGGCTCGGGATTTGCGTTTCCGTTTACGCTTTTGTGCTCAAAAAGCGAAATTTGCACAAGTCGATAATTTTGACGGCTATTTTGACGGTTTTGCGGCTCGTTGGGACAGTCAGGTTACACGATGAAAGTTGCGTAGAATGATCAGTCTTCTGCCACTTCCACCCGCAACATATTGCTCACCTCTCCCTCGGCAAGGGCAGCGACTGCAGGGAACAAACATTCGTTTTCTACCCATTCCAGTCTGACTGCCACTCCCCGGACTCCTCAAGTCTGTGTGTACTGTCCTTATGCGCACGGGCATGTATTTACGTTGAATTTACATATTTTAAGGCGTTTTTACGCGCAAAAACATAAATCCTACTCTACGCATGAAAACGCAAATAAGTACAGTTTCAACGACCCAAAAATGAAGCCTGCTCTAAGCAGGATTGCAAAACCTATGCGAACAATTCATGCCGGCTTCTCCGTGCTTCCTTCCTATATTCTCGATTGTCTTCAAGAAATGTGCACCACCTGGTGCTTCTCACCGCTCCACCGCCCGCTCATATTATATTCCATTCGCTTGCGGCACAAACCTCCTGGGTATCATGCCCTCAAGAACGGCACCAGCACTCCTCTCTGCCATTCCTTCGTCCGCCCAGGGCCAGCTTGGCCACCCGATGAGGAGTTTGCGGGCACCAGAATTAATGCCGTCGTCATTGCTCGCCTATAAGGGTTCCATAGCCAGGGCAGTCACCGCTGCGATGATCTCAGTGCTGCGCAAATTTCTTGTGGTTTAGGGTTTAGGTTTTAGGATTAGGGTTTAGGACCCACGCAGACGTGGATTGAAGAACGTGCATGGCATTTCTGCCAGAAAGCTGTCCGCGACGGATGCCGTGTGCACCGCATGCGTGGCGGCAATGGCCGTAGCCAGGCGGGCTGTGGATGTCGCGCCACCGGCATGGCTGCCTTACCCACCTTACTTACCTGTCCAGGTGTCGCCCTCTTCATGGCCGTCGCAGCCACACAATGGCGGCGGTTGTCGCTGCCAAAATTGCAAAGTATATGTCTTTCCTCTGCACCTGCGGCAGAAAGCACATCGACGAATTTAGACGAAATTGGCGACGGTGGTGCTATATAGGCCGGCTGCTGGACGAACGCGAAGCTCCACATATGTTCATCGTGCATGAATGGCTCAGGACTGCAGATTTGGGAAGAACTGTGTGTGCATCGCCCTGTCACTTGTCTTTTTATGAGCAGAATAAGTGAACTCAACAACTCAATCGACTCCAACAATTATCCCATGCAAAACCGCATGCTCAACTTTACCTAAGTCTGCCGAACAATAGACAAGCAGCTTCCAGAACAGTGGGTGTGTTGGCACCGTTCTTCATCGTCACGCGGAATTGCAGACGCACAGCGGCGGCAATTTCTGGCCCATGGATTTACAAGCGACCATAAATCTTGGCATAATGTGGGAAGCGAAGCAATGGGAGCTGTGTGCCATTTTTGCATGATGGTCGTTGCGACATGATATGGCATTTGTGAAAATACAAGTATGGGCAAGGCTGCCTGAAGCGCTTGTCTATGTCAAGAAAACTTACGTGTTGTGCGTACATATTGAGGCCATTGTTGCTTCTTTCTCGGGGAGCTGGCCAACACGGCCACGACGCGAATACTTTACCAAGTACACAAGATATTAGCATAGTAACGGCGTTGTGACAATTGTACAATAAACGCAAATTGAGAACAGCAGGACAACAATTCATTGACGGGAAGTGCTCGGAAGGCGGCAGGTGCATCCTTAAAAGACGACCGGACATTGTCGATTTTCATCTCTGTGAGACGGCCACATCAAACACAGATACGCCTCTCGTGCCAAAGATATCTGATGTACAATGATGCGTCGTTTGACAGACACGCACCGATGTTTATGTGCACTGAATGGCATGCCATTTGATGTCGTGTGAGAACATTTCCCGACGCCAGCTGGGGGGAATCCTTTATGCGGATGATGAGGGGCATGGCACGTGGGTGTGGGTGGCCACGTCGCCGCCCGTAAACTCGACACGTTGTGCCACAGCAGCCGCCTTCCCGAGAGCTTTGGATGCAGGGGCCAATCCCCGCCACTGGCTCTGCCATGAGGTCATGTCTCATCGGTTGCGACAGGGGTATCCAGGATACAATGGGGACTTGGAGGACAGGGGTTAGAAAGGGTACACTCTTAAAGGCCTCTAGAGGCCCTTAATAGTGTACCCAATCTAATCATAGGAGATATCCTGTGCTGCACAGAGGAAACACCGGAGGTAAAAGTTGCGCAAGGTTAAAATATTCTGACAGAAATGAGTACAACAACATATTAATGAAGTGCAGAAGTAGATCAATGCCCCGGCAATTAGAAATCACCTCACAAGGTCACACTCCTGCATTCCGTGAATATTTCACGGCCGTCAATCAGCACGGCTACATTGGAAGTGGCCATGCGAAATGAGGACGCCTCCTGCCACCGTATACCGTACCCAGCCTCGTCCGCCGTCTGCTGAATCACAACCTTTCGCCTGTGACGTCCACCCGGCCACACGAGACCCGACCCCACCCTGCAGACCCTTAAACTGACAACCTGCGGTGCCTGGCACTGCTGACTCCTACACATGCTGAATTCTCGCAAGGTTGTTTCCCAACATTTCGCCCATGGCATATATTTGTCCAGGACCCAAGGCACATCCTCACATATCTATAAAACACCAGACCTTTCCTTTGGCTAGGTAGCTTGACACCACGGGTGGTTTAAGACCGTCTCGGCACAGTAGACCCATGCAAACTGTGGAATTCGCGCAGGGTCGTCCGGGCCAACGGCCTTGCTGTGAGTGTGGACGACTGGGCAGAAACGACGTCGACTGAGACGTAGTCCCCAGGCTGTGGCACGGCCTCCCCTCCGCAACCATGTTGTGACGCTGGCACTGATATCTTCGGAAATATCACACGCTTCATCGTGCACGTGCGGCCCGTCAGCATCTCTTCCGATTTCTTCGCCTCGCCCTCCACCAGGACCTGCGAGCGCAAATTGTCGGTCGACCTTAAATTAGCAAATTGAGTAGCTGGGAGGCTGTCCAAAGTATCTTCAATCAATTGGGTTGAATGTACTTTTGAATAGGATACGATCAACAGGCTGATGCGCGGCCTCTGCTGTTGCGCTACAGCCTCGCCAACAGAGCAACACTGCCACGAAGTCCAGCGTGGTTGGTCCCTCCCCTCCCCCTCCCCACACCCACCTAGCCCCCTCCGCCCACGCCCACCCACCATGCTTCCTTCATGCCCAAATTGCAAACCCCGACATCGCATATATGGTGCGTATGGAGCGCACATCCGACGCAAAAGCCCACCCATTGCAAACCAACTGCGGAAACAAGCTCTTCAACCCCGAAGCCTACCAGATGTGTTCTGCCGACCTCCTTCTCGTTCTTCCCAAACATCGTCTCCCTGAAAACCTGGATGACCTCGGCCAGCCTCCGGGCCTTCACTGGCTGAGGAACGTCGTCCTCCAGGTGCCGCGCAGCATGTGTCTTGTCCCTCTGCGAGTAAGCGAACATAAAGGCCTGCTCGAAGCCCACACGGGACATCAGGTCCAAGGTGGCGGCATGCTCGTCCTCGCTTTCTCCGCAGAAGCCTGCAGCAGGGCCAACAGAGCATCCTTCGCCTTAAGAATACGCCTATTCTCTACAGATAGCATTCTTCTTCAAAAATATCACTCCTGCACATAAGCTATTGACACAGAAGAAGCTGCGTTTGGTTGAAAATTGCGGAATTTTCGACAACGTAAAAATATTGACATCTGTAAAGCATTGCCATGCAAGTCAACTACCGGCAGAAGTGAAGGCTAGTGAATGATGAAGGCTGTGCAGAATGCCTAGCTGGAGACGAAATGTGCGGTGATTCGGTCCAAATGGCGATCGTAATTTAGGACCACAAATGCGGCTCAAAGCTTGACCAGCTCGTTACCAAGCCAAGCATGCGAAGGGAACAATCATTTGATATCCAACCAGTTTGCATACAGGTATGAAGGCAATTGCCAGGACCCAATTCAACCCATTCTGCATTTCTATTTCTGAAGGAATGTACAGGGTAAACCCAGCTCAAATCTTGAAAAATTCCACACTCAGTGGAGAGCAAGCACACTCCACCTGATAGAGATCGAGCTTGTCTACAATCCAAGCCACCATGTTGAGCCGCAATAAAAGTCGCACCAACCAACCTACGCTCTAAAAACTGAACCCTGACCACCTCAAACTTATTCTCTGCTGCCGGCACACTGTTCTATATGAACAGGCAATAAGAACCACTTCAGAGCTTCATGAATGCGTCATGCGCCTACCAGTGATGATATCCGTGGAGAGGGCAAGCCCAGGAATCAACCTCCGTGCCTTGTCCACAAGTGCATCGAAAGCCTCCCGGGTGTAGCCTCTCTTCATGCGGTCGAGCACGTCAGAGCTGCCGCTCTGCGCTGGGAGGTGCAGCTGCTTGCACACATTGGGGTACTGCTGAACCACCTGCAGGGTCAGTTTCTCAGTTCCCCAATGCACTTCAAGTGGTGCCCTCTCAACAAGTCTTACTTTTTGGCAAGAGAAAAGTGGAGGTTGCACTGGACAATCAACGAAGAGCGCCAATGGCCATAGGCAAGGTCTTAAGAGCTGACGATTCCTATCCACCTCAGATTCGACACTGCGTCGCTGATGCAATAGCAATAGGCAGTGGGCTGCTGATTCTTGTCGTCTTCCAGTTGGCTGCATCCCCATATGCGAGTCACTCGCTTAGATGGTAGTGAGGAAAGCCCAAAAATGACCACGAATGGCGACACAGGACCGGTTAGCACTGTGCTCAAATCTCCACACTTTCTTATCGCTCCACAGCATGCAGGCCTGCCAGACACAGCTTTCTAGGACCCTCAGTTTTATATTGGGTAACGAGAATTCACTGCCGGCACACAAGCCACAGCATTCAGGCATGCATGGAAGACACTGATCATCAGCACTGCAAACAGCACAGGGATCTGGAGACCAAACTTGACAACAAGGAAAAAAGGCAATGAAGCAAGACAACAGACGACTACAAGGTACCAGCCATTCGTGGCGAACGTGTGGGTTGTCATAACTTCGATTATTCCGTGTAAAAAGACAATACTTAGCATTACTGAAACACTGCTGTTCATTCTTTGATTACATTTGTCTACATGTTACAAAACACAGCCCTTGAACTTGCCATGCGAGGTCAGGCAAGCATCCGCAAAAAGAAATTCCAGGCAACGATCTCTGGAGCGCCAAAGTCTCATTTTTGTTTGTGAGAAAGTCTTATTGGCTGCCAGTGTTTGACATTGCCTATTGGCATTGACTACGGACAGCCCAATATGTGGCAGACTCTGGCTATTCCTTTTAACGCGGCGCTTGATGCTGCTGCAAGCAGTGCTGGGCTTTCAAAGTGCAGCCCGATGTTGGGAAAAGGCCTAGCAGCACCTGAAGGTGCGAGGACAGTGATAACGACAATTCTGATGACTGGAGTCTCAGCAGGACCACACAACAGTGTGAAGCTTGGAGCCGGTACCAACCTGCAGAACATCATCAGAAAAGTCTTTTGGATGCGGCGATGTGAAGCGAATGCGCATCTCAGGGTCTATCTCTGCCGCTCTCTGCAACAATTCTGCAAACTGAACCGCTCCCTCCCGTTTAGGCTTGTAGACACTGCGGAAGCCAGCTGCATAGGTGCTAAACGGATCGCTGAACAGCATCAGAGACCCACAGACACACATCAGTGCTCAAGATGGCATAACAATGACCGAGAGCTGGCTTGGTAGAGAACAAAATGCGCCACGAGACTGCCCTCTGTGCTACAACTTGTGCTGTGAGTAGGTCGACAAAGGTCCAGCAGGAATGCAGGTTACATAAAAGCATCTTTCATTCCAACAGTGAAAGTGTCTCAATGGAATCCTGTGTAGTTTGTATGCACTCATGACACTGGTGTTGTGTTGCTCCCTTGCCATAAACTGCGGCCACAGTGTAGGACCCCATGGGTTCCTTGTTGAACTATTGAAAAACAGTTGTTGTCTGATGGTCTAAGCATTAGACAGACATACACCACAGCCGACTTGTCTCATTCCACATTACAGGAATAAATGAATTGCTCCCCTGACAGAATGACTGACTATTCTTCTACTCTCATCATGTCAAACTCGCTTGCTACGCTTCACCAGCAACTTATCCTGGATTGCAGCGATGCTGCAGTTGTCCTGTGATAAAGACTAAACCAAGAAATAGATGAAACCAGTGACAATGCAACTTTGCGCAAAGTATCTGGGCAAAAACGCTTCACAATACCCGACCGTGGTGCCAGGGGCTCCTCTTTGCGACTCAGTTGCGAAATCGGCATAGGAGTTCACGTTCTGCCCTAGCAAGGTGACCTCCTTGACGCCAGTGTCGCTCAAGAGCCGAATTTCATCCAGTATTGACGTTGTCGGTCGGCTTCGCTCCCTCCCCCTGGTCTCACGGCAGGCAACACCCCCAAAATCAGCAAATCTGCAACTGCCAATCCAAGCCCTCAAATCATCAACCAATACGAGTCCAAACAGTGTTCAGATCCAAACAGTGTTGAGGGTTTCTATACTTCTGAGCTCTGTTTACGTTCCTGGGTCCTGTGTGTCAATTGTCCCTTGTTCCTGGGTCCCAAATTTACACAAATTTACGTACACCTAGGTCCAGGCACTGCTGCCCAGTACGAATTTGCTAGCATCTGAATCACAAAGAAGCAGCTTAAGAAAGCAGTGAATCCAAAACTAAGACGATCAATTTACGAAACAAACACAAACAAAGAAGAAGAATAATCATTCTTGACTACTTTACAGTTTCCTGCTGAGCACCAACTGCCTTGTGGGCCCCCCAACCTGGTAAACGGCACAATGCAGAAGCTGCACATGTTGTTGCAGCCCCTCATGATGCTGATGAAAGCAGTGACAGCACCCGCTGGCCGCAGAGGCACCACATCGGCGTACGTCTCATCAAGGCTCAGCTGCGTGTTGAGGGCTCCCACTGCACCACCATCTGCTTCCCCCTGATGTTCAAAACCCGCACGACCATCACACCATAAACCCCTTGCAGATGCAAGGAAGCGCACTGCCACATATCCAGACTTGCAAAGTTGGAAGTTGCAGCAACGGAAGTTGCAGCAACGGAGGGACAACAATGGAAGTTGCAGCCACCAGCACCTAATCTGTGCACATAGTGCACCACTGACTAACATCGAGAAACATGATGGGTGCAGAAACTGCAACAGGCAGTTGTCCCCAGGCGACTGTCATTGTGGAAGTGTGAATGAGCGCAACTGCAATGCATTGTGGCAAGAGGTGGTTGAAGTCAGAAAGGGCAAACGTACTCTTAGAGGTGGACACCACCTGATACTGTCAAGGGCATAACACTGCCAAAATGCATGCAACTCACTACGTTGTCAATCAGCAAATAACTGCAGGATTTCATAGCAGTTTGAGAATGGTGCATCTTCTGTATTGAGTTGTCAATACACAAGTCATCAGATCCAATAGCACACCCTCAGAGGTAGTTGCATGTGCACATGCCATCGAAAGATGACTTGACAGCCAGGCCCTTCGGGTTTACTGGGTTGTGAAGCAGTTCAGGTGGCCATGTTCAGCTGCAGTATTGCGGGCTCTCCCATGGCACAGTCAGCTGCTGGAAGTAGCCCATGACCAAACTCCAAATGAGAAGAAAATAATGAACAGAAAACAAAGGCAAGAAAAAGTGGCAGAGATAAGCTCCCAGAAAAGGAAATCGGAAACAGACCACAATGGGAAGGTGAAACAACCACCTCAACGATCTTCAACAGCCTTGGCATGTCTCTGTAGGCGTCTGGACCAACCACAATGTCAGCAAGTCGGTCAGCATCCAGGAGTTTGTGCTTCAGCCGCTCTGCCATACAGCCAAGCACACCCACAATGGGCCCACGCCTGTGGACGCACCACACATTTGAAGAATTTCAACAGAAGTCAAATATTCATGAGCACTCACGATGGCCAGTGCCATCAGGTTTGTGGCAACCATTTCTTATCATTCGTTTCGTTCTTTCCTTGCATTGCTTCATTCAATTTGCTATCTGAATTACCGCTGCACAACAGTTGTAAACACGAGGGGCATTTGGGATCACCTAACGCACCTGCTCAAACGTAAGAGAATTGTGCCAAGAGGAATGGCCAGTGATGGAGTCCACCAAGAGAATGTGACAGCAATTTTGTGCAGAGAGTTGGGCCTTACAGCACAATGCCTCATGATGCATGAAATTCGAGCGCCTTTGGAAAGATGACGGCTCTGCCAGCCTTTAGAAAAGGGCTGGTTAACAACATCCATGACAACAGTAGTGTGAAGGGAGCCACGCTCCACGGAATCGTATTGAAGGTACCCCACCTCTTGTTTTTCTTGGCAACAGCCTTGAGTTTCTTGAATTCGCCAAGCCTACTCCAGATCTTGTTTTCTGGTTTTTCTCTGATGGCGCATGTGTTCAGCAGTATGACATCAGCAATAGTTGGGTCCTGTATCGGACTGTAGCCCTTGTCTCCCAGAAGTGACAATACAACCTGAGCAGAGACAAATCAAATAGATGTCACCACAACCATATTATTGCTTTCAACTAGCCATGCGCACAGATCAGTAACAACGGTTGTGTTGGTGTGTATCATTGTCAAGCATCTGCTCTACAAACAGTTTATGGCTTACCGGCAGTCGCGAAGGCAATATGCTGCCACAGCACCAAGAACTGATGCACACATGTCTCATTTAGAATAGTCAACCAGATACATTTACAAAGCCTTGTGCTCTGTAGTTGAGGCACAAGCCACACAAGCAGATCGAATAGAAATTCAAAATGAAACAGGTGGTGACAGCATGGTAGACACATAATGTTTCTGCACTTCTAACAGCATCCTGGCCAGTGCAGCAGTGAGGGCTTAGGCTGTCTTCAACTGTCTGAAACAGTGTCGTTGGTGAAATGCACCAGCTCACTAGGGTGCAAGGTTTTGACAATCATGCAGCTAGTTAGACATTCGCCGTGAAGTGATTCAATTGTTGTGTTACATAGTCGTTTCACAGTGCTGCATTTTAACTTTTTGCGAGGGACCACAATAAAAGGCGTCAAAGCTGTGATAGTTGTCCTACTATTAGGGCTATTAGAAAAATACAGTCATTCATCCTATCAACCACCAAAACAACCAGAAGAAGAAAAAGCAGAAGAAGATTTCCTACATTTGGTGAAATGGCAACAAGGTGCATGTCACCGCCATGGTATGTCCAAACATGTTTAAGACAGAATGTAAGATGGCCCAACACAAGCAGAACAAGAAAGGAAAACATGCGAGCAGCTGCATTGGAAAAATTTCCTGATGTAAAATGCAGGCTTGTTGGAGAATGCAATTGCAACTTTCATATCAATTCTTCATTACTGCAAAGCAATGCAATTCCTGCCAAACAAATCGGAAGTGGCAGACAACAATGCCACTGACCTCTGTATCATTCACATTCATCTGACAGCCATAGGTTTCAACGTACACGTTCTTTCCTCTCATTGCGCCACCTGATGGAGGTTCAGACTGTGCCAAAACACATTCACAGAATCAATGGCCAATGTGGCAATGCTGGTTACTTGGCATTGCCGTCACATTCCATTGGAACCTTGCAAGAGATGGTGGAGCCACTTCCCTCTGACCAGGTTGTTCTCCCAATGCACTGAACATCATTGCCACAATACGGCCAGTGCACAATTGACAACACGGAACAATACTACCTTAGTGTTGTGTATCTTGCGTGGGGTATACACACAATGGTGAACAGTCTATCTGCCGAAAGAGGGACACAAATGTAGCTTCATTTAAAAATTCACAACATGAGAATTAATAGTCGTTTCCTTCTTCTGCAAAAGTTAAGCTGTTCTTCTGTCAGCTTCCCGCCCCAAGGGCTTCAAATATGTCTAAATGTACTCCAGTGCAAGTTACAGCAACAAACACACCCACATACTCACATGCAACACCATGCTGAGCTGATCAGTTGGGGCGATCAGCCTAGCAGCTGGACATTTGCATGATTCTCTAACACTAGGCAACTACTAGTATCAGACGTCTTTCTGATAAGGGCACCTTCAAATTCACACACCACCGACGGTTTAGGATCTCATGATCTGCAAGTGCCAAAAGAAGAAGAAGATTTCCTGCAATTGGTGTCACGACAATTATGCGCATGCCATCTACAATAGCGAGGATTGCCTGATTAGGATCTCCTGGCAAGAACAGGCAGCGCAGTCCTCAATAATCATCAGCCATTGCATCATCATGGATCAGCGCTGCCAGCAGTGCTTTGCATAAAAATTGCCAAATGTGGGGCAATGCACATTTGTGGTGAATGCCCATGCTGTGTCCGCTGTGGTATATCTCTTGACCAGTGATTGCATCAGCAGCTCTGCAACGGACCGGCGGCAATCCCGCCTCTTGGGCAGGCGGCCAAGGCTCCATCCATTGCCCATTTTCCTTCCCAGGCGTGAGCCCACCAGGACGTCACCAAAGCCGAAACAAGCAACACTTTTGGCATTTCGGTGGCGTTGTTCCGCCGCAGCTGTTTTGGTACATTGGCACCAGCATTCCGTCCGGCTGTGCACGGGTCCGCCTTCCGGATCTACAAGCAGCGTTTCGCCCCGAGCAGGCAACCCATTCCAACATCAATGCCACAAATTCCACCGCCTATCAAATCCCCGCGCCATCACTCCCCCTTTCGCATACATCATCTTTCCACAGCATGCGAAAGCGCCTTGCGTGCGACTGCTTAGTATTGGGTGTCCTTTGTAACGTCTGTTTCTGTCTCTCTTCCTAACAAATCTTGCCCCCTTCACACGCTCCGCGATACCCCTAAACCGCGCGACATCGCCACCCACCCCGCGATTTACGCCTCCGCGATCGAACGCGATCTTCGGGCGTGGCGCGTCGCACCTGGCCCTCGGCGATCGACCCGCCCGGCTGCGCGCCTCCGCGCCCGGCCTCGCGAATGAAGTGCCCCAGGCCAGGCCCGGCGGCGTCCAGCATCCGGCGCGGCGCCGCATCGGCCGCGAGCCCCCGGCCCTTGAGCCACGGCCACCGCGGCAGGAGGCCACACGCCGCTCCCAGCCGGCGCGCCAAGGCCATCCGTCCCTCTGCCCACCAGCCGTGGGGACATCGTTTGCCCCGCCTTCTTCTGGTGGCCAAGTTCTTTTATGAGGGATTGAACTTTTCCATTTCCATCGAATCGCTGAATTTGCTGAAACTGGTGCAAGTATTCTAGAAGTATTAGGAAACCCAAGTATCAAGCATCAGTCTTAAGTGTAATAGAGTACTGATGTTTATTTGCAATATTTTACTTCACGTACAGTGCTTATTAGAATAAATTAAGAAGCATTACCACCAGTAGAAAACAGCTTGTTTGCTATGCCAATTGCGACGCCATTTGACAAAAATTGATGCCATCACAGCCACTTTCGTGTGCCATCGCAATCACTGTGATGGCACTACTTTGTGTCGAAATGGCATCGCAGTTGGCATCGCAAACATATCGTTTTCTACCATGGTACTTTGACTCAATAAATAATTACAGCATTTCAGTGGTAGTGAACGCCGGTGCTGCAGAAAAGTCTATTATTGCAGAAATTGGTATGGGGGTTCAGGGCGCTCTCGCTGGTCAATTTAAGTACTTTAGTGTTCTACGCCACCATGGGCACCAGTCCAGGTCATTTGAGCAGCTGGTAGCCTGGTCTCAGCAGCCGCGTTACTCACCAGTTGGGAGCTGTGCTCCGCCCGAACATTCCACATTCCCTTATATAAGATCCCCATACACAACGCCGGTCAGTAAGTCAGTGGGTCAGGGGTAAGGGTATCTAAAAAAAGAAGGGATATTTACGGAAAAGAATATCTCGACACATTAAATGATGTGGAAGTTGCTCGCAACATGTGTCTTCAAGCCCATTTGCGCCCCTCTGTCCATAACGTAGTCCGACTCGACACCGCCAGCGAAGCGACATCACTGCCAAATGCGGCACTGGATTCCTCGGCCTGGAGACTAGCTGTGAAAGAGTAAAGAGAAAAGAAGCAAATGTGTCATCAACGTTTTGACGGAGCGCTTCCATGCTTCTTTCTGGATCTGAAGAGGGTGGGTACGATGCCCTGTGTCCCCAGGTGTGGGCCTTTAAGCATAATTCAACCACCGCCCTTTAATCAACATTTTATGGCGGCGACACAACATTTGGCCCTTTCTGGTGGGGCCACGCGGAGACATAAACGATATTCTCTTGGAAACCTGCCGAACAAAAACAAAACGCTGCAGGAAGGTGAAACACCATTTTAACGGTTGCCTGCGCCCAAACGGTCTGTGCGTTTATTTTCACCGCCCGGCCAGGGCACATTCGCACGGAGGGGCCCAACACGAGTGTCCTTCGACGTACGTCGAGCTCCATCCGCTCCTCGCAGGGGCCTGGGTTTCTGGAATTGAATTGAGCATTATGTGGTGTGGACGTACATTTTTCGCAAAGGCTATTCAGCTACAAGCCAAATCCATTCAAACCATTATCATGCAAGATTGTGCGGTCAGCGCGCAGCAGCTCCACGCCCTGTTGCTGTGCCGTGTTGCTACTTATGCGCGTGCTGGAATGCATTTGAAAACATGAACATTGGGAGCGTTGACGCGTGCGTATACAAGTGTTTGCTAGACTGACTTAGAGGCAGGGCAACACTTGGCCAATCAGCAAACATTTGCGAGAAACTGTTAGGCTCAATGCTACAAAATCAGAGTCTAGTTGTGCAAGCATAGGGCTATTCAATTGAAATTAAACTGGCCGCATTGTCGCCCCACAATGCATGCCGTGTGAGCTGGTCGATCTTCTGAATGTGGCATTCACACAACCTCCGGCAGCCCACCTGCACAATACCTACGCAGTGATCACTGTGGATGGCTGCTGTACTACTTCTCCTACTGCTCATTTCGCATTTTCTAGTTGGCCAAGAGTATTAAGGGAGTGGCGCACATTCGCTGACCCAGCCAGTTTCCGCTCTCCGACCCAGCCGAGGGTCGCCACCTCCCAACCCGCCCAAGCCTCCGCCCGTGCAATTTGAAGCACGCCGCAGCCAACCTACACTTCGAGCAGACGGAAGGGCGCCAATCGGCAGCACTTACCAAGGCGAGGTCGGAGCGAGGTGCAGAAACGCCGCCGCTGCTATGCTGCCACATGAAAGAATCACCGCACAAGGTGGGGCGAAACGCGCTCGCCCCTCCCCAGCAAAACGGGCGCCAGATAAAGTCTGGAAGTCGAGTAGTGCAGACCATAAATGCAGCGCGTGGTTGCAAGCGCGTTGCCGCCCCAGAAGCTAGGCGGCACTGGTAGACTTTCTGCGCTGGGGCCCCCTCGCCACGCGTGGCGCACATTCGCGCCGCTAATGTGTGGCCAGCGTTGACATAACGTGCGCATCGCATTTTCAAAGTTGAAGTCCGTGCAGCGAAACGCCTGCAAACTTTCCGTTTCTTTGAGAAGGAATTCGCCCCCTGGGCTTAAATTATTTCTTGAGCTCTGTGTTCCCATTTCTGCTACACACTCTTATTACTAGTCTCGTTCGGTGTACGCACTCTGATTTTGGTTCTCCGTAATAATTCAAGGACTGCTGCCCAGATAATCCGCAAAATTTTCATTGCATCCTCCGATATACGGTAGGCTTCACCAGTTGCCCCCTGCATTTTCGACAGCTGTGGAAAAGGAGACATTCTTTCATTTGTGAATGTGCCTATATATGGGCATTCAAGAACGACTGAATATGCATGTTGCAAGCTCATTGAACATGTAAATGATATAAATGCCGAATATTTTGCCGAAGAATTTCAAATTAGAAAAATTACACTTCAGTTTTGTAATAGTTTTAAATTCAAAGCAATAAACCGTTTGTCTTTCACCTCAACGTGGTTTATTATTCAGTGTTAGGTTAATTGCAAGGTCCATTTAGATTGCTTCAGTTGAGCGAATTGAACCATACAAGCTCAGTGTGTAGTTGCCTCTCAACTGGTAACGTTTACCGAATTGGAATAAGTTACTTTCGATTGAATCCACCATCTATTCACCGCAGGGTGTTACACCTAACCCTGCCTTTATGCCATTCACGACGTGCACTTGCACAAGTTGTTCATCTTTTTCTAGCTATAACGCCATTTGTGCATGCATGGAAATATGCGAGCTTCACCATTTCCATACCTAAATTGTAGTTTAGGTGTGTCTTCTTTTGTAAAGCCATATCGTCCATGATTGGGAAGCACGAGTGCTCCCTCCTCGCCATGGCCCCGAACGCTTACCTCCTAAATTGCTGCAACCATTGTTGCGGCAGCCACGACCACCTACTTGCAAGTCAGCGGGGGTGATTCAGCACGCCTCCAGCCATGAATCCACCAAAATGAATGGCATTGAAGAAATCCTGAAAAACGTGGCATGAAATGCAATGTGCATGTTCAAAAAAATTTGCCTAATGTGTATCATTCCGCAACTTAGTGAAGCCACGCCTGTTGGAATAGGCGCGACACTCGCAGATTTTGAAAGCGCCTGTGCCGCTAGTGCGCACAGCACTGAGCGTGCACTCCCAAACTAGATTACTGTGTGCGCTCCATCCGACAGTCAAAGATGCGCCTTTCACCCTTGCATCGACGTAGCGCACTTTCTAAGAAAGAAGGCGCGGGCTTTGGAGGACACAAGCCGTGGGCCAGGTCCAAGTATTGTAGCATGAATAGTGTTGAAAAAGACATGACGTCGAATCGCAAGTTCGCACTTTGCACCAACCTCAACAAGAAGCAAGTTAGAGCTTAGGCCCACAAACAAGGCACTGTTGTTGAAAACGAGCAAGCAAACGTCTCCCATTGCCACCATCCACAAGCACACGACAAAATTGGGGCGCCTTGCACTATTCAAACAAAGTGAATCGAACCACAACAAGGTGGTTGGACGCATTGGTCAAAGCCAATGTCCTTGGTTCCCACAATGTCAAGAAGCAATTGGCCTAACACGATCAAACCGAGAGAAGCCCCTCAAAGAAGCGGGATTTCTTCAAACATCAAGAGTGTTGCCGTCCCACAAACATCTCCGGTCACTGGTCCCGTCCCCAACATCATCCAACACATGAGCATAACAATTGCTGAATTGCTGCCAGCAACTTGGGTCATCATCACATAAAACCACATATCAGTCATCCAGCCAGATAAAACCCACAAAAAAATATTGTGGGCCTTGCGACAAAATGAACAATACGCTGCCGACCAGCGTTCCAGACATAACTAGATTCAAACAAGTTCATGTGCGCTTTTAAATCCACCAGAGTGAGCCACGTCAACACGAATCTCGCTTATTTTCGTTTTCTTTCTACATCATGGTAACAAATTTTCGAATCCACAAATGTATATGTATGTGGAGCTATATGGTTCAATGGAACTATGTAGTTACATTGAGTCCATAATGAGGTTGTTGCATTTGTGTTGGCTTAGCACTTCGCCCAGTGATTTTGAGAGTCGCCATTTTAGCCTTGATTCTGACACCCAAAACTCCAGTCGATTCGTTAAATCAAGGCCCTATGTCGAACTGGTCCAAGAGCAATTCGCATTGAAGAAATATTTCTTGAAAAATGTCCAAGACACATTCAGATCTATAGTCAATTGATGAGGTAATCTACCATCCAAGTACCATGCTCTATCGATGTTTTGACGTCACAAGGGAAGCAACAATAGAGCATGAACACGCTAGTTGTAATGCTTCAAAGATAACACATGGCATGAACACTACTAGGTGAATAAGTCATAAACCATATCCATTATCCAAATGTCGCCCCAAATCCAATTCTTTCCTCTCTTTCAGTGTTTCTCAACTTTTGGTTTTATTGTTTTTGTTGCCTTCATATCTCCAATAGTAGGCCACAACTCTCTGAGTGCTGCTTTGCCTATTGCTATTTGCAGATACCACATCATTGGGGAACGTTTCGGCTTTATGCACAAGAATATATTGGCAATTAATAGAGCTGGTTGTGTATGCAAGAGC